CTATGCAGTCTGCTGGACTCTCACTGCAGGGGGTGGGGCTCCCTCTGTGGGGCGGGGCAGAGGGTGAGGGAGGAGCCTCCTATGGCTTGATGGCTGGGCTTCCACTGCAGGAGCCGGGTGGGCAGGGGAGGCCACCGGAGCAGCGTCTGGAAGAGAGTGAGGGAAGGAGGAATCCCTGCCAGGAATACAGACTTTAAAAAAACAACACCCAAGCCAACCCACTTGCTCTGGACCCGTGCCAACTCAGGGCGCCCACACTTGTGTATACCCAGGCTCCGTCAGATTTTTCAAGCGATGGCTTTTTGGAAGTCGGTTGCCAGTTCTTTCTCTCTGGGTGGGTCCCAACTGCGCACCCTTGGGTGAGCAGCTGAGCGCCAGGCCGTTAAAGCTCTGCCCTTTCAGGTAGGGGCACGCCCAGCCCAGCAGGGAGGAATCTTTCTTTGTAGCCTCTGCCCCATTGGCATTACGTGAATTCTGACTCACGGTTGGACCCTCAGAGAACCCCACTGTGCTCCGTAGGGTTTGCAAAGGCTTTGATGTTTCAAACCTAAAGCTCCAGGCCTTTCTCTGGAGGTGCCTCGGGGTGGCTTCCCACTTGGTTAATAACTGTGGACCACCCTGGGACCCCTTGCAATGTAAGAAAAGTGCCCACACCTCAGCCTGCTGAAGAGCCAGCGACCCAGACAACGTGACACCACACCAAAAGGTCCCCCGTGAAGAAAACACCAACCTGTGCCTCTGTGCCCTCCCCCTCCTCCTCCTCAACCCCAAGCCTCCCTCAGAGTCCCAGCCCTTCCCAGCCCCGGGAAACCCCCTGGGGGTTCCTGACTCTTCCCAGCCCAAGCAGGGGGAGGCAGGGTGGTGCTGGATCCCAGGGTCCCGCTGCCCCAGGGGGTTTCCTCCTGTGACGAGGGCTGGGGCAGGCACTTTGCCCCAGAGGGGCTCCGCCAGTTTCTGGGTGTCTCACTGGCAGGGGCCTGTCTCCCTATGGTCTGTGGGTCTTGGCAGGTCTCTCTTAGGGGCATGGAGCTGGAGGGTGGGTGGTCCCTCAAGGTGGCTCACAAGTGAAGAGATGGTGCATTGGGGATGTCTCTGGCTGTGGCTGTATCTCTGAATGCATCTCAGCCTCTGTGTTTCTCTCTCCCTGTATCTTTCCTCTTCCAAGCTCTGTCTCTATCTCTTTCCTCCTCTGTCTCTCTCCTTCCCCTCTATCTCTATTTCTTTGTGTCCCTGCCCCTCTTGCCTCCCCATCTCTGCCTGTCTGTCTCTTTGTGTCTCTATCTCTCTCCTCCCCTGCTGCTGTCTCCCTGTCTCTGACTGTGTCTTGTCTCCTCCCTCTGTTTCTGTTTCTGCTTCTCTCCCCTGCTTCTGGTTGTCTCTGTCTCTTGTTTCCTCCCCCTCTGCCTGTATCTCTGCCTCTGACTCTCTGTGCCTCCGGTCTCTCCAGCCTCCCTTTGTGTCTCTGTTTCCCACCGCCCTGTCTCTCGGACTTTCTGTCTCCGTTTCCCCTGCTCCGTTCCCTGGGTTTCCCCCCTGGCTCTGCAGCCGGAAGCCAGACGGAAGGACCGGTCTTGCTGGGAAAGGCCACGCCACGGGGTCCCCACTTCTCCCTTCCCCGCTTCCGCCCCGCCCCCGCCCCCTGGGGCATTCCAAGTGCTGCTCTGAGCTGCCCTGCAGTGAGTCAGGCC